AGAGAGAGAGAGAGAGAGAGAGAGAGAGAGAGAGAGAGAGAGAGAGAGATGTCAATTACCTCAGCTTGTTTGTGAAGAACGAAATGACAGATCAAGGCATTTGAATTTACGTTTGATTTTACTTCTCATACCTGAGGAATGTGACTGAGATGAAATACGCGACAAGCTCCCACTGTTGTCAACCTCCACCTCATTTCTAGCCTTCACCAGACAATTTTCAATGCCTTGAACAATGTCCCTCATGACAGGCCGCAACTGTCTTTTCTCTTTTACACATAGAAAAGCCACTTTGGCCAACATTGTAATAGCTTCCTTCGGGAAGACACTGCTCTGAAGTTTTGGATCAAGAATAGCGTTTATTCCTCCTCTGTTGAACATATCCAAAGCCTGTTCTCATTCATCACGATAAAAAAAAATCACACACCGGAAAAAAAGTGTTGGCAAGCCTCATGTACCACAATAAATGATCAAATGACGTCAATTGGGTCACTAGACTAGAACATAACCAATAAAAGATCAATGAACTTTACAAAGAGGAAAACCCAAACATAACTAGTTGACACTTCCCATAGGGAAGAGGCCTGCATCATCGGGCTGCATTAATGCGAAGACAGCAGTTCCACTGCTTGTACCCTTGCCGTGAAAGTTACTAAAAACCATAGCTACGCCGGACCAGACCCCGGAAGCCGGACCTACCAGGCCCTTCCGGACTTCCGGAACATCGGACGGAGGATCCGGACCGGTCAGGATCCCCTTTCCGGATGCCTGTCCGGATATCCCGTATTTTCCGAGGGGGTGGGGGGGGGGAGAAACCGCGTACACACATAGAGTACCTCGGTGTGTATGTAGGATGAGAAAAATCGGAATGAAACTTCAGCCAGAACATGAAAATACACAATGGCACACTTCTTTTTCTTCTTTTTTTTAAGTGTGCATCGACTGACCAGCCTGCCAATATGCAAAATGAGAAGGAATCTTCTGCAGAACATAGGAAGATACACCACGACAGACAGATACATTGAAAAGAAATCCTGGTGTGAGTATGGACTAAGGTGCTGTCAGATGCAAATGTCACACACACACACAGAGAGAGAGAGAGAGAGAGAGAGAGAGAGAGAGAGAGAGAGAGAGAGAGAGAGAGAGAGAGAGAGAGAGAGAGATTGTACTTCCCCTTCAAATTTGGCCAGCGCCGTCTCTTCTGCAGGTTATCTTGCTAGAAAGAAGAGACCCTTGCTAGAAATCTGTTTGTCTCTTCTTTCTGCATTGGGTCTCTTCTATCCACGTGATAGGAACTCTGTGGATGAAGGATAGGGCCTTGTTGACCAAACCCACACGGGCTGAATAGGGCTAATGGCACGGTAGGCCCAAAATCCGAGTTGTGGGCTGCACAACAGGCAGTGTAAGTCTTGAGAGGACCTGCTGCTCGCGTTGTCCTGTCTGCGACGTTAAATAATTCCTGAGGAGTTACGGAGGATCTCCTTAAATGCCTCCTGATCAGCAACAGGTCCTGTAGTGACAGCCTTAGAGTAGGTCTAGGCTAGAGACCCTAATTGACAGGATCCAGTCCGGGTGTTGTGGTCCTTAGATTGAGTTAGTAGGTCGTGTCAGTTAGAGGGTAGGTCTACGTTGGGAGGAGTGGGACAGTCCCTGTCGTGCACCTAACACCATGGACGATTACCCTATGTATGGCTTGCTCGTGGGGTTCTCCCTGTGGGGGACCCTCTGGCGTCTCTTCTTCCCTCTGGGATTCTGGAACACCTTTACGTGTAGAGTAGACACGAGGGGTGGTACTACTACCAAGCCTTATACCCAGAAGCAGGAGGAGGAAGTTGCGAGGATCTTGGCCGAGCGGAAGGCCAAGAAAGAGAAGAAGGAGCTCCTGAAGCAGGCGACGTTAAAAGCGATAGAAGAGGAGCAGACGGCGAAGAAGAAGAAAATAAAAGAGGAAATGTTGAGATTCCAGAAGGAGAAGATGATGATGTTGCAGCAGGAAGAGGAAGAGAAGAGGAAGGCTGCAGAGGAAGAAGCAACAGCAGCAGCAGAAGAAGAAATGGAAGAAGAACCCTTTGAAAGGAGGCGTGGGGGAGATAGAGGAGAGACCAGTGGCACGAAGGGTGAGGACGCTTGGATAGAGAAAAATATCAGTGAGTGGGTGGCTAACTTATCGTTGGGGGAAGACGAAGAGGCACTGCTGTATGTGCCTCAGGAGGAGAGAGAAGCATTCACGAGGGTATTAGAGATGATGGAGGACCCCCTGGAACGTCAGACAACGGAGGATGAAAAGAAGTTGGAATGGAAGTTGCGGATGATGAGAGAGAAGAAGAGAAGGAGGGAGGAAGCTAACCGGATGGATAGAGAGGTGGAGAAAGTCCGGGTGTGTAGACAGGAAGTTCAGGCACAAGAAGAGACCCCTGCGAAGCTAGATAAGATTTTGGGGTCCCTAGAGGTTTTGAGCGAGGCCTGGCTTGAAGAGCATCAGGCAAACAAGGGTCAAGATGTGACCCTGCACGCCATCCGGACCGGTTTCAGAGAGTTTGTGCGCCACGTCGGGGCCGAAATTAAGAAATTAAAGGAAGGCGCCGACAAGTTTTGCGCAGGCGCCATTGAGGGCACCAAAGTAGTGGCCACAGCAGAGGCCACAGCGCGTTCCCGCAAAGAGTCTGTAAAGCTCAAATTCCCTGATGCCTATAGCGGGAAGGAGGAGGAAAGTTTTGACAACTGGGAGGCCAGTGTCAATACTTATGTGTATTTGTAACATACTGCCCCCGAGGAGCAAGTCTTTGTCGCCTTCCATGCACTGAAGGACGAAGCGGCCAACTTCGCCAGGTCCCTCATGCGCGCTGCGGATTGTGAGCATAATATGATTGCGTATTCTAGACTCACCCCTCTCTCCACTTTTCTCAAACTCCTACGTGAGAGGTTCGATGACGTCACGAGAGGCGTTAGGGCCTCAGATAAGCTCCAAACCATCCATTCGCGACAGTGGAGGAGTGCGCGAGCACTCAAAGCTGTCATGGACGACTTGGTAGCCGTCCCGGACCATGGGGTCACTGAGACCCAGTTGGTCCAACTGTTTTATCGTGCCATGCCAGAGCCCTTGCGAGGGCACTTCTTTGACAAGACCCAACAACCCAATATCACATATGACGCGCTGAGTAGGGAAGTGGTCTTGTTCGTGGCAAGTCCATGCCAGTCTCCACTTTCTGGCACAAGGACTTGGATAAAGGTAAAAAGTGGAAAGGTCGTACCATCTCTGGCCAGGTTAGGGCCGAGGATCATTTGATCCTTACCTTAGATGAAGGTGGTACTGATGAGGTCCCTTACAGTCAGATAGAGTGAGGCCTCGAGGAGGAGGACAGTAGCGTAGGACAGGGGAGGTCCTATGCTGCTGTCGCGGCTGGAGGGAGGCCGCAAGGTAGAGGAGGAGGCCAGGGCCAAAGGGGCCAGGCCATGGGAGGCCGAGGATCGAGCGCACAGGGGGTTGGCGGTCAAGGGAACCGTCAAGCAGGAGGTAGGGGTCAAGGTCCCCTGCCGAATCGTCAAGGTCCCAGTCGGTCCCCACAGTGACGAGGTGGAGGATCACCTCAAAGGAGAGGAGGTTGGCACCCAGGCTGGCCACAAGGCCGGCCCTGGGAAGATCTCTGGGCCTGGATCAGAAAGTGTGGCAACAACGCATGGAGCAGGGGCAGTGCATTTACTGTGGTGACCCTGCCCATATTATAAAATATTGTCCTAAGTATAGGCAAGCCTGATGGGTTGCCCAGGAATCAAAAGGCAGCCGCCGGTAGGGGTCGCAACTGCCCCTACTATTAGGCCATATGGGGAAGCGAGCGCGTGCGTATAGGAAACTCCCACACCACATGAGCCTTCGGCAGAGGTTGCAGGCCCGTGCCTAGTTAGTTGTCCAGAGACTGCTTGTGTTAGCGTCTCTCTAATCACTTCCCTCACAGGCGCGGCAGAAGAGTTGAATGCCCGCTTGGGCCAAGATGAAGAAAGAGAGTAAAGGGCAACTAGTGTTAGTTGACGTAGAGGTTTTTAGAAGTAGAGTAGGGCCCTTATAGATTCAGGGGCCACTCGCAGTTATATTAGCCGTAAAGCGCTGAAGAAGTTGAGGCTAGGATTGAAAGTCCAGAAGTTGGAAGACCCCATAGTAAGTGTCCTCGCAGACAACCGCACTAGGCGTGTTGAGGACTACGTAAACGGTGTCCAGGCGTATTTCCGCCTAGAGAAAGATGAGAAGGTGGAGAAAGTTTTCCATTCCCTGACTCTCCTCGTTCAGGATGACCTTCCTTTTGACATAGTCCTAGGTATGCCGCGGCCGATCCAGCACAGAATCGAGATAAAGCCTGGCAGTAAGACTCCTAAGGGAGCAGTCTACAAGATGTCCCCTAGAGAGTTAGAGGGGCTGCGCAAGCAGCTGGACGAGCTCCTTGAGAAAGGTTGGATTAGGCCCAGTTCGTCCCCTTTTGGAGCATCAGTTTTGTTTGTCCCCAAGAAGGAAGGAGAGCTACGTATGTGTATAGACTATAGGGGTCTGAATGCGATTACAGTTAAGAATGTCGAGCCACTGCCCAGGATAGACGATCTCTTAGATCGGGTGCAGGGTTGTAAGTATTTTTCGAAGATCGATTTAAAGTCCGGATATCATCAAATAGAGGTTCACCCTGATGACCAGTACAAGACTGCGTTCCGGACTAGGTATGGGCATTATGAGTTCATAGTGATGCCCTTCGGACTGACCAATGCGCCAGCTACATTTCAGCGATGTATGAATGATCTGTTTAGGCCTTGGTTAGATAGATTCGTCGTAGTTTACTTAGACGATATCTTAGTGCTCAGTAGGACCCTCCAAGAGCACCAGGGTCATTTGAGGCAGGTCTTGGAGAAGTTGAGAGAGGCTAACTTCAAGATCAACGCAAAGAAGTGTGAGTGGGCCAAGACAAAAGTCCTGTACTTGGGCCACGTGTTAGACGGAGATGGCATTAAGCCTGAGGACAGTAAGATAGCGGCGATTAGAGATTGGCCGACGCCCCGCACATTGACAGAGTTGCGGTCTTTCCTGGGCCTAGCTAACTACTATAGGAAGTTCGTGAGGACGTTTTCCACTATCGCCGCTCCCCTTCGCAAGTTGCTCAAGAAAGAGGCAACCTAGCAGTGGGATAAAGACTGTACGTCTGCGCTAAAGAAGTTAAAGCGCGCGTTGATAGAGTACCCTGTCCTCAAAGTAGCAGATCCGTCTTTGCCATTTGTCGTCACCACGGACGCAAGTCAGTATGGAATAGGCGCCGTGTTACAGCAGGACGGCGATAATGGTTATAGGCCCGTAGAGTTCATGTCAACGAGGATGCCCTCAGAGAAGGTCGCTACCTCGACGTACGAGAGGCAGGCAGGCCTTAGAGCACTGGAAGCATTACCTGCTTAGGAGGCACTTCAAGGTGTTTTCAGACCACAAGACGTTAAGGTGGCCGAAGATACAGGCCAAAATGACACCTAAGTTGACTAGGTGGGCGGCTGAGATAGACCAGTATGACTTCGAGCTCAAGCCTGTTAAAGGCAAGTATAATGTAGTTGCGGATGCTCTGAGTAGGAGATCAGACTACTTTGGAGCTATAGTTCACTATCTGGATATAGGGAGTGACCTGCAGGAGAAAGTTAGACAGGCGTATGTGCAGGACCCTATCTATCGCGACCTCCTCAAGAGAGTTACGGAGGCCCCAAAAACCGAGCCAGACTACCGCACTACAGAGGGATTGTTATTTGAGAAGACGAATGTAGTAGACCGTCTGTGCGTTCCCAACAGCGGGGAGATCATTAGTTTAACCCTAGGGGAATGCCACGACACAGAGGGACACTTCGGTTGGCAAAAGGCTCTAGCCAACCTGATGCATGCGTGTACATGGCCTGGAATGAAGAACAATTGCATTGAGTATGTCCGCAGTTGTAAAGTCTGTCAGAGAAACAAGAGCACTACGCGTGCCCCTCTAGGTCTTCTCAGACCCTTGCCTATTCCTGACCAGCCCGGAGACTCTGTGTCCATTGACTTTATGGATACGCAGGTCAAGAGTAGGCACGGCAAGAGCCAAGTCATGGTTATAGTTGATAGATTTAGCAAGTATGCTGTTTTTGTTCCTTTGCCTGCAGAGGCCCGTATAGAGTTAGTGATTCAGATTACACGATCCCGGTGGAGAGTGATTCAGATTACATGGTCGACCCCTAGAGTTGAACCCGTGACCTGTGTATTTGTAACAGTTGGTAGACTGTCGTAGGGTCCATAGGTAGCAGGGGTTCGATCTGTAGACCTGTCGAGTAGGAGTCTTAGTCAGGTCTAGAAGTCGTAGCGGTAGCTTTCCCGAAAGGTCAAGGTCGTAGCTGCTACAGTCCAGAAAGGTCAAGGTCGTAGCTGCTACAGTTTCGAAAGGCCAAGTCCACGGCCTTCCGGAAGGTCCAAGTAGTGGCCTTTCGAAGTTGCCCACGTTTAGGCTGAGGCAAGTGGGCAAGTGGTGGAGTCTACCCGTGCTGACTCAGCAGTCCCGGTCCCATGCAGTCCTAGTCCAGTCAAGCAAGTACCACATGGGACTGTGTGCACTATGGGCATGGGAAAGGGCCAGACCAACGAGCTGCAGAAGTATAAATCCAGAGGCAGCGCCCAGTCATTCATTCATTCCTGCGTGAGCCATGTGGAAGCGCTGCCACAGCGACTTGTGCTAGGTGGTCTGCAGTGAGCCCGAAGACGAAGTGGGCGAGAGAGAAGGAGCKTAGCCATAGCGATAGGGTAGCAGCGGCCATAGCCGCCATAGCTGTAGATAGAGTTCAGTGTGTGTGTGTGTGTGTGTGTGTACAGAGAATCGTGTGTGGGATATCCAGGGTGATCCTGTGTGTGCGAACAGAGAGTTGTGTGGGCGCTGTGACGCCATGGCCATCTGAAGTGAACTTGTATCTGAGCTGCGTTTTGGTTGCCATATCTCTGAGTTTTGAGTCGGCGCTTGTCGCCAGTTTGCTGCGCACCTGTTTGCATGCATGAGAAGTGTGAATGAGAGCGAGTCTGATTGCACACACATCCATCTGCACTACTCTGTGCAAGTCCACCCAACCATTGGCCACTTCTAAGATTGCAAATGACAAACAGAGGGTAGCTCGCTCACCCACACACCATAGTCGGATGTCTGAAGCCTGTTCTGAAGTAGGTAACTACTACCTGCCTCTTCCCCCCCTCTCTCCCGACACATCCATCAATGCTACGCTCTGTCAATCCACTGTACTATTGGCCATTTGTCAGACTCCAAATGAAAAGCACAGCAGGCTTCACAAGTACAGAACCTTCCCTACGAGGGGTCGCTTGCAACAGGGAATGAAGTCTTCCTTACCCACTCTGACATGGGAATCTCTGGATTAGACTTCATGTAGGCCGGGCACATTTTCCCTGTGATGAGCTCCAGGAGAACTATGCCAAAACTGTAGACATCACTGGATCTTGTCAACTTCTGTGTGGCAAGAAACGCTGGATCTAGATAACCAATAGTGCCTGCAACCCTCGTCGAAACCGTTGTGTCATTTATATCCACAAGCTTTGAGATCCCGAAATCTGCCACCTTCACGGACATATCCTTGTCCAGCAGTATATTGCTTGGCTTCACATCACGATGAATAATGGCTGGGTCCTGCCAAGTGCATGAAACGGCACAGGTCAAGATGCAAGAGTATACAGGAGGGAAAAGGAGCTGGGAGGGCTCGGAGGGAGGCCTTGCATGCACACCATACATCCATGCCTGTGTTTTTCAAAAAAACCCAAATACTCTCTCTCCTTCCATCCACAAATCATCACAAACCATCCATGAAACAAAACATGATATAGATAGGCAATATAGTAGGTTGGCCACGTTTATGTGGTTAGGCAGCAAGTGCCCACACACCCATCTGCCGTAGAAGCGGCGCACTGCAGAAGATCCATAAAAGGATGCAGAGCAAAAGGCAACATACTCAACACAGAAGGCTCCACCAACAAGAAAGCACTGACCACATCTGCCAATGGTCTGAAAAAACTTGGAGAGCCCCCTGAGTCGATCCACAAAGCCACAAGATTAATTACATAAGTACAACAGCACTGACACTGCTATTCACCCCAAACGACCCAGTCACATCACCTTCATCTCTAGCACTCGACAGCTAGACAACCACCCTTTTTCACTTTGCTGTCTAACCCCTGGCGTGTATAGAGTGCCATAATCCCAAACTCCATGAGATCTCCACACGATATCAGGAGCGCTACTGCTTAAAACACCCTAGAAGCCCCCATTTCTTCCATGTGCTCGAAATGAGCAGCCTGTGGGAATGACACCCACCGCAGCTCTCTGAGCCTCCTCGCGAAGACACCGTGGCCAAAACTCCTAACACACATTCCAACCCCAGAAAAACTCGTGGCCACCCACAGACATTCCTTCATCAAAGAAACAGTCCATGCTCCGCCTAGGCAGGGCAGGAAATTAGGCCATGCATAATTAATCAAACAACCAACAGAGCATCCAACCACAAAAGAAGAATAGCTCGCTAGTACAAGCCCGATCCTAACCGCTCAAATCCGCCAAGGTTGAAAAAACACATAAAGAATCAACAAATTGTTTGAATTGACTTTTCCTGGCCAGTTTAGGCTAATTGTCTTTGAAAATTAGCTTCAAGCATACGTCTGCCAGCTTGCATTATTTAAATTTTAATTTCGCGGCTGTCATCAATCCCTGATTCCCTGC